CAGGTCAGGTCAGATCAGGTGGGTTGGAATTGGTCAGGTTACGTTGGAATTGGTTAGGTTAGGTCAGACATCAAGTGAAATAATCTGGGTGTATGATCTTCATGTGTTCAAATTATTTATATATGCAATTATAATATATTGGGAGTCAATAGTGTAAATATCCAGGTAGTGGATTATACTTGACCTTATTTGTGCACATAAGTATTGATGTCTACTTAAATATTAAATCTTTTCTAAGTGAGGAAGTCTGTACGTATTGTCAGGTGTGTAAGCATTGTCAGGTGTGTAAGTGATGAAGTCTGTGTGAGTATTGACAATTGTGTGTAAGTGCTGAATTTTTTTTTAGTATTGACAGGTGTGTAAGTACTGACGACTGTGTAGGAGAGACGAGTCTGACATAACGTCTTCTTCAAAGGGTTAAATCATCGTCGTCAAAGGGTTAAATTATCGTCAAAGGGTTAAATCATCGTCGTCAAAGGGTTAAACCATAGTCGTCAAAGGGTTAAATCATCTTCAAAGGGTTAAATCATCTTCAAAGGGTTAAATCATCTTCAAAGGGTTAAATCATCGTCGTCAAAGGGTTAAACCATAGTCGTCAAAGGGTTAAATCATCTTCAAAGGGTTAAATCATCTTCAAAGGGTTAAATCATCTTCAAAGGGTTAAATCATCGTCGTCAAAGGGTTAAATCATCTTCAAAGGGTTAAATCATGCCGAAAATTGTTTATATAGAAGATTAACTCCTGCAGGTATAATGATCTATGTTATTTTAAGTTCTAGTTCTTACCATAGGAGGTTGTGGTGTGTGTGCAGGGGCGTGGTTGCAGGGACGTAGTTGCAGGGGGCGTGGTCCTGGCCGAGGTGAGATGAGTGGTCCAGGGTAGGTCTTGTGTTCGTTGGCAGGCGGCGCGGCGGGTCGAGGGAGAGAGTTGGTGAGGTTGGCCTGGGAGACGGGAGCCGTACACTTATCTGTGCCCACATTATACTCCCACACTGCTCCAACACACACACCAGCGCTACCCCAATACACGCCAACACAGCTCCAACAACGCCAACACTGCTCCAGCATACACCAGCACAGTGCCAACACACACACCGCCCGCCACCATCTTCAACACACAGGCACACTGCGTCAACAAGGGTCTGGTCTGGCTCAGTGGTAACCAGCGAGTGAGATAGTCGGCGGTAGTTAGCTAACTCTTACACTAAACTGATCAGGAGGAACCATTTTGACCCTAGATTACTCTGTCCATAAGGGCTATTGAGTGTCCGAACTGGAATGGTATATGTTGCCTGGGGGTCACTCAAGAGGAAACTTATGAAAGATCAGTAACTTGTAACTGATGACCGAACTTACATCTTAACACCTCACTTGACACAGGTCTTCACTGAATACTTGTAGAGTGACCAACAAAACTATCTTCCTAGTTTTATCTGATTATTTTTTAAACCTGTCGAAACACAATGAAATATTTACCTGGACTACATATGAACAGTTGGTATGCCTGACTGAGTAGCGTGATTCATCTGACGAGAAGCCCTGAGTCTCTATAACGGAACATGAAGCATACAGTATCATGGTTCGATACATCCCAAAGTGGATAATGTGGTAAGTGATGTATTTCACAGTCATAATAAATGGAAAACAGAGAGAGAGAGATACCCTGGACACTAGTTCTCCCCCGGCCCGCCAACTGTTCACAAGTTACTGGAGAACGTGTCCGAAGGTTGAGTGTCCGCGATTCATTCATCCATAACTGGCAAGATAGATTTGTCGCTCACTGTATACCACGTGAACAACACCACCACATAAGCCACACCACCATATAAGCCACACCACCACATAAGCCACACCACCATATGAGCCACACCACCACATAAACCACACCACCATATAAGCCACACCACTACATAAGCCACACCACCATATAAGCCACACCAACACCAAAATAACTAAAGCCTAGAGCTGAGGTGAACCACTGTGGCAGCCAACGTCGATGCTACCCTCTGTGTCAAGCACCTTATATATGAAAAACACCGCCTGGTGTATGAACACTGCCTGGTGTATGAAAAACACCGCCTGGTGTATGAACACTGCCTGGTGTATGAAAAACACCGCCTGGTGTATGAACACTGCCTGGTGTATGAAAAACACCGCCTGGTGTATGAACACTGCCTGGTGTATGAAGAACACCGCCTGGTGAACACCGCCTGGTGTATGAACACCGCCTGGTGAACACCGCCTGGTGTGCGAAGAACACTGCCTGGTGAACACCGCCTGGTGTATGAACACCGCCTGCGTATGAAGAACACCGCCCGGTGAACACCGCCTGGTGTATGAACACTGCCTGGTGTATGAAGAACACCGCCTGGTGAACACCGCCTGGTGTACACCACCGCCTGGTGAACACCACCTGGTGAACACCGCCTGGTGTACACCACCGCCTGGTGTACACCACCGCCTGGTGAACACCGCCTGGTGAACACCGCCTGGTGTACACCACCGCCTGGTGAACACCGCCTGGTGAACACCACCGCCTGGTGTATGAAGAACACCGCCTGGTGTATGAAAAACACCGCCTGGTGTATGAACACTGCCTG